GATGCTCTCTTAGGTGCTGAGAACAAAGCATCAAACAAAATAAAGTTTTCTGCTTGTACAGGGCTTATAGTCTATTAGGCAAAAGAAACAGAGAAACCAGGTAAAGGAGAAAAATATAGCAGATGTTTGGGGGCAAGGGCCAAGGAAAAAATTAAGTATGCAGATGGGGTAAAAGGCCTCACTGAGGATGAGAAAAGAGAAAAGACTTAGAAGAGAGGTAGGGAACCTTGTGGGTCTCTGGGGAAAGAGCATTCTAGGAAAGAGAATAGCAGGTGCAAAGGCCCTGGCAGTAAAAGGTGCCTAGTGTGTTTGAGAAACATGGAGGAGGCCAGTATGGCTGTAGGTAAGTGACCCAGGGGGAGAATAGAGGAGATGGGGAGAATGGAGGAGATGAGGGCAGGGAGGTGATGGGGACAGGTCATGCAGGATTGCTGGGAGGACTTTGACTTTTCCTCTGGGTGAGGTGGTAGTCATGGGAGGGCTGTGACTATTTCCACGTGCAGTAAACCAGAATTTTCTGTGCTGGTTCTTCATCTCATTCCAACATCACTCTTGTTCCATGAAGATCTTGGGTTGGTGTGGAGGCAGAAGACTGATGCAGGCCTCCTTGAATTCTCCTCCTGTGGGGTCAGAACATGGAGGAGAAGGCTTGGAGCAGAAAAGCAAGCCCCCACTTCTTTCTGGATGACTCAAAGCCACAGTAACCTGGGCTCCTCCTCCCCCCTGAAGTAGATCTAGGGCAGCACTTTCCAAACGTCAGTGTGCACACAGATCCCCTGGAGATCGTGCTAAAATGTGTGTTCTGACTCAGCAGGTCGGCGTGGGGCCTGACACTCTGCTTTTTTTACTGGGTGTTGGCCTCCGCTGCTTGGTTCATGGACCACATGTTAAGTAGCAAGGTTGTGGACCACACCTTAAGTAACAAGGGTGTAAGGTCAGTGCTGCAGACTCCCATTTGGGGTGTGTCTTCGGGCACTGGCAGGGTGCATGGAGAGAGGGAGGTGACCCTTGATAGCCAGTCTATCTGTGCATGCGTGCCTGCTAAGTGGCTTCAGTCATGTCTGACTTTGCTACCCCATGGGCTGTAGCCCACCAGGCTTCTCTGTTTATGGCGTTCTCTCCAGGCAAGAATACTGGAATGAGTTGCCTTGCCCTCCTCCAGGGGGTCTTCTCAACCTAGGGATCGAACCAATGTCTCCTGCATTGCAGACAGATTCTTTACTCCTCAGCCACCAGGGAAGCCAGTGTACCCATATCTGACAAAGAAATAAGGTGGGCATGGGCAGCCTCTTTCTGTTGGTTTGCATGCTGACTAAGACTTCATTGTCATACTGGAGCGCTCTGGGTCTGAAGCCCAGGTGACCGCGGGCAATTGAAAGCCTGAGAACGCAGCCCATGAAAATGCAGCTTGCTGCTGGTCTTGTGGGACTCTTCCTGGAACCTCAGCTCGAATCAGATACAAAGGAAGTCACATCCCAGCCATTTAGGGGCAGGAGGCCAGGGGGCCCCAAGAGTGAGGCAGCAGCTTGGTGCAGAAGCAAACAAGGAGCTAGTTGGCAGAGAAGGAAAGCGAAATCATCAGATTCAAATCATGGCTTCAGAAGCCTCGGCGAGGGGAGGCCAGGGAAGGGCTTGGCATTGCTTCTTTGTGTACAAATATTGTCTCTTATTTTCTGGGCTGCAGGGTGAGGCAGAATGGAGTATTTGTGCAACACAGCCCAGCTTTGTTCTCTGTGCTTCTAATGACCGTCAGCTCGGAGGCAGGAAGCCAATCAGAGATGATCGTCAGCAGGAATGGCTTTTGTTGACTCCCCAAATTGCCCTGAGTCTTGGATTTGCTTTTCAAAGTGTGCGTGGAGCGTGGCTTGACTGCTTTCAGCTGGAGGCAAAGGCTGAAGCTGGTGACAAAGAAGACCTGCTTTTCCTTTCTTAGACTCCTACTCCCAGGTTGTCTATTTCAGACTTCATTTTCACACCTGGAAAGTGGGTATATATTCCAGCTCCTCCTCCTACAGCCTGTAAGATCCCTTGGTTTTTATGAAGCTTCCATGATGCTAAATGTAACTCTAGGGCCAAACAGGATACCGAGGCTAGTTAAGTTTCCAAGAGAGAAAGCTGGGAGGAGGGCAGTAGTTCATCAACATGGCCAAGTTCAAGATATGCTGTTTGATCCTTCTGCAGAACAGTGGATTTCAGTGTTCCCAGGGGACACTGGGCAATATCTGGAGATGAATTTTGGTTGTCATAAGTTTTGATTCTCATAACTGGAGAGGAGGATGCCATTGGCAACTAGTGGGTAGAGGCCAGGGATGCTGATCAACACCCTACAATATGTAGGACAGCTCCCCTGAAACCCCACCCACAGAGAATTGTAATTGTTGTTGTTCAGTTGCTAAGTCATGCCTGACTCCTTGTGACCCCATAGACTGCCTCATGCCAGGCTTTCCTGTCCATCACTATCTCCCAGGGTTTGCTCAAACTCATGTCCATTGAGTTGGTGATACCATCCATCCATCTCATCCTCTGCCACCCCCTTCTCCTTTTGCCTTCAGTCTTTCCCAGCATCAAGGTCTTTTCCAGTGAGTTGGCTCTTTGCATCAGATGGCTAAGGTATTGGAGCTTCAGCGTCAGTCTTTGCAGTGAATATTCAGGATTGATTTCCTTTAGGATTGACTGATTTGATCTCCTTCCTGTCCAAGGGACCCTCAAGAGTCGTCTCCAGCACCACAATCAGCTCCTCATCATGTCACTAGTGTGGAAGTTGGGAGACCCCACTCCAGAGTAAGCAGTACCCTCAGGCTTTCTCCCTCTAGCATCCATTTCTCCCCACTTAAGCCTCCTTCTCAGAAATTGCCAGTTTTGTTGTGTTAGTTTTATTTAAAGTAATTATTGATATGTATGTTCTTATTGCCATTTTGTTAATTGTTTTGAATTTGTTTTCCTAGGTCTTTTTCCTTCTCTTCCTCTTTTGTTCTTTTCCAATATAAAATTTAAAAAATTAAAAAGGAAAGAAATTGCCAACTTTGTTTACTAAAGCTGTTGGCCTGAAGATGCTTCTGCGGATCTGGCCGGGGAAACAGGGATATTCAGGATCACCCGCTGATCAGCAGATCAGGTCCTGATGTGAAGTGAGCAGGACACACCGCCCCCCGCCCCAAGGGCAGACCCTGCAGTGGGCCTGTCTGGTGGCTGGAGCAGTGTTCCAGGTTTCAGGGAGGCGCTTGTGCCCAGAGAGAGAGGGAATGTGCATCTCGAAGTGGCCATATGATCTACACCTTCCCTCCTTCAGATCTTGAAAGGGCTGATCCTTGGAGGCTTGACTACCGTATTGTTTTTTATTGAGGTGAAATTCACATAACAATACTAGCCATTCTTAATTCCTTGGTATTCAGTGCATTTGGAATGGTGTTCAGCTATCACCTTTATCTAGTTCCAAAACATTCAGTAACCACTCACCATTTCCCCCTCCCCCAGCCCCCTCAGTCCTTGGCAATCACCAGTCCACTTTCTGACTTTGTACTTGCTTGTTATGGACATTTCACATCAATGGAATTCATACAATACGTGGTCTTTTGTATCTGGCTTCTTTGACTTAGCATGATGTTTTTGAGGCCCCTCCACACTGTCATGTGAGTTACTGCTTCATTTTTATGGCAGAGTAATATTCCATTCTATGGATATATCATATATTGTTTAACTCTTCATTCCCTGATGGACGTTTGGCTCATTGTGAATATTGCTTCTGTGACCGTGTATCTGAGTACTGGTTGTCCAGTTCTTTTGGTGTATACCCAGGAGTGGGATTACTAGATTTTATGGTGATACTGTGTCTTAACTTTTTGAGGAGTCATCAGACTATTTTCCTCAGTGGCCGCACTGTTCTACATTCTCACTAGCAACATACAGTGGTTCCAGCTTCTCACATTCTCACCAACACTTTATTTTTTAAATAAATCAACCCAGTTCTTTTTTTTAAAGATTGATTTATTTATAGCTGCGCTGGGCCTTTATTGCTGCGTGTGGGCTTTCTCCAGTTGCAGAGNCTGTATAGTAGGACCTTGTTGTTTTATCCATTCTACATATAAAAGCTTACATCTTCTAATCCCAACTTCCCATTCCATCTCTCCCGCAAGCCCCTTCCTCTTGGTAACTACCATTCTGTTGTCTATGTCCGTGATTCTGTTTCTGTTTCAAAGGTAGGTTCATTTGTGTCACATTTTAGATTCTACACATAAGTGATATTATATGATATTTTATTTTTGTCTTTTTAACTTATCTTACTGAGTATGATAATCTCTAATTGCATCCATGTGGCTACAAATAGCATTATTCCATCCTTTTTTATGGCTGAGTAATAGTCCGTTGTACGTATGTACCACATCTTCTTTATCCATTCTTCTGTGGATGGACATTTAAGATGGAAATTTTGATACTGGATCTGATCAGTGTATTTTAAACTGCAACCACCAACCTCCTTTCCTGCTTTTTGTCTCGGTAGCATTCACCATACAGTACTGTATGCCTCTCCTCCACAGGGGCAGAAATTTCTGTCAGTTTTACTCTCAGCTGTGACCCTGTGCCTGGGACCTGGCACACAATAGCTGCTAAATTGATGTTTGTCCAGTGAAGGTTGGAGGTGAGATGGAGGAAGAGCATCTACATTTTCCTTACAGAATCATCTGCTGGGGTTTCATGGCAGTGAAACTCCTCTGTATGAAGCTATGTTGGTAGATCCATGTCATTAAACGTTTGCTCAAACTCACAGAATGTGCAACACCAAGCATGAACCATAAAGTAAGCTGAGGACTTGGGATGATAGTGACATGTCCGTGTAGGTTCATCACGGGTGACAAATGCACCACTCTGGTGGGGGACGTTCACAACAGGGCAGGCTATGCCTCTGTGGGGGCAGAGGACAGGTGGGAAATCCCTGTATCTTCCACTCAATTGTGCTTTGAATCTAAACAAAGCTGGAAAGATTTTCCTTAACTCTGTGATACTCCCTTTGAATATATGATTTTAGCCACCATCATAGCAAACTGCATCGTCCTCGCCCTGGAGCAACACCTACCTGATGACGACAAGACTCCGATGTCTGAACGACTGGTGAGTGATGTCTCTCCACCAGGCTGTCTGCTTTAGTGGCAAACTGATGTGGTTGTGGGATCTGAGCGCAGACTGGGCTCTTAGTCTTGTCTCCAAGAACCAGATCCTGGGCCCCCTGCCTGTTGTTTAGTTGCCAAGTCCTGTCCGACTCTTTTTTGACCCCATGAACTGGAACCAGCTAGGCTTCTCTGTCCATGGGATTTCCCAGGCCAGAATATTGGAGTGGGTTGCCATTTCCTTCTCCAAGGGATCTTCCCAACCTAGGGCTCAAACCCGAGTTTCCTGCATTGCAGGATGGTTCTTTACCACGGAGCCACCATGGATGCCCTGGGGAACCTAAATTTCATGAATACCAATAATCTGGGGAGAGAGAAGTCTTGCTGCCCATCCTCCACTCTTGCCCCCCAGCAGACCTCTTGTCAATCTAGAGAGGGATGAAGGGGTCACATTGTCCATGAAAAGTCACATTCAGAACAAAATTTGGGGGAATTCTCTGGCAATTGGGTGGTTAGGACTTGGTGGTTTCACTATCAGGGCCCAGGTTCAATCTCTGGATGGGGAACTAAGATCCTGCAAGCCTGGTGGCACAGCCAAAAGGATTTAAATAAATAAATAAATAAATTTTTAAAAATACAAACAAATCCAAATTCTTGTGAAAAATATTGGCCGTACATAAATACACAGAGAACAGTACCATGAACCCCTCATGAATTCATCATCCAAAGACAACAAATATCAAGATTTTGCCTCACTTCATGTTTCCTTTCGTTTTTTATTTCCTTGGTTTGTTTTTCTTGGCCAAAGTATGTTAAGGCAAATCCCAGGCAATACATCAATTCACTGCCATATACTTAAGTCTGCATTGCTCAAAATATGGGCACTTTCTGGGACTTCCCTAGTGGTCCAGTGGTTAGGACCTGGTTCTTTCAATGCCATGACCTGGGTTCAAACCCTGGTTGAAGAACTAAGATCCCACAAGGCACAGAGAGTGGCCAAAAAAGGTGCTTTCTTACATCACCCCAGTGACATGTTGACATCCAGCCACCAGTGGTTCCTGGGAGTCATCAAAATCCCAGCCAGTAATCAAATATCCACGATTCCTTCAGAAATGGCATCTTACAGGTTGTTTTGTTTGAACCAAGATCCGTACATGGTCTAGATTTGATGTTAAGGCTTTTACTCTAAGGCAGTTATCTTCCCTCCTGCCACTGATTCTGCAGAAACCAGTCCAGTTGCCCTAAGGAAGGTCCCACATTCTGACTTTTGCCTGGTTGCTTGCTTAGGGTATCATTTAGCTGGTTTCTCTTTTCCCCAGGTTTACTATACATGAATATCAGCTCTGGAGTCACAATCCAGTTGATGATCTAGTGGAACTCTGCAGAGCTGTCAGCTAGCACGAAGTTCTCTCTTGATGCCCCAGGCCATCCCCCAGCCCCCTGGTTTGCCTCCTGGTATTCTGACAATCCCAAGAAGGAGACCTCGCTCCTTCCTATCACCATTTCAAAGCCAGCTTTCAAAACTCAAGTGTAGGGAGAGAGAGATGTTAGAAGTCACTCCTTCCTAATCCACATAATACTGATGATCTCAAGGCTTTTACGTGTTAATAACTATGTATTGGACTTCCAAGGTGGTGCAGCAGAAGAACCTGCCTGTCAGTGCAGGAGACGCGGGTTTGATCCCTGGGTGGGGAAGATCCCCTGGAGTAGGAAATGGCAACCCACACCAGTATTCTTGCCTGGGAAATCTCATGGACAGAGGAGCCTGGTGGGCTACAGTCCATGGGGTCGCAAAGAGTCAGACACAACCCAGCACACGTATGCAGTTATGTATTATAATGTGTTTCCTAAAAATAGATAACTAGTCCCGAAAAACAATGATTTAAAACTTTTTTGTTGGTTTTTGCTTAAGATCAGGCTAAGTAAAAAGAGTTTGTTGAAAGAATAGTAAGCAAATAGTAGTAGCGATGGTGAGCTGGTATAGGAAAGCTCGTGGAAGCAGAATGAAAATGACTGAAGCTTGAGACGCATTGTCATTAACAGATGAGGGAGGCAGCAGTGGAGGGGCTCTGATGGAACAAAGCTTATAGCTTAACTCCAAGCATTAATACTACAGTGTCAGCTGGAAGCCAGACCTGGGAAGAGGTCTGGCGGGGAGCTGGGAGCTGGAACATTAGCCATTTACCAGCCAGTGCAGAAGTATTCATTCCAGTATTCTCTCAACCTGAACTGCTGTACTGGTGCATACCAGCTTAGAATCATCACACGTGTCAGATTTGGGGGCTTGGAGGTGAGGCCAGTGCATAGGGACCAACCCCAGGGTCCTGGATGATGTATGTGACAAGTAGACATTCTCAACCGATGCTTTCTTGTGGAACTTTCTACAGTGATGGAAATATCCAACATCTGCACTGTCCAATATTTTAGCCACCGGAAATGGGACTAGTGACAGCAGAACAGAGTCTTTTGTTTTATTTCACTTAAATTTCTTTTTTATTATATATTTATTATTCTTGACTGTGCTGGATCTTCGTTGCTCTGCGTGAGCTTTCTCTAATGGTAGTGAATGGGGGCTGCTCTTCATTGCAGTGCAGACTTTTCATTACAACAAGAGGCTTCTCTTGTTGTAGAGCAAGGCTCTAGGTGCATCTGTGTCATAGTTGTGGCACTCAGGCTTAGTGGCCCCACAGCATAGGAGATCTTCCCCAATCAAGGATCGAACCTGTGTCCCCTGCATTGGCAGGCAGTTTCCCAACCACTGGACAACCAGGAAATCCCTTCATTTCAATTTAACTAGTCACACACAGCTGCCTAAGTAGTGTGTAAAGTTGGCCAAATGGAAAGGAGTCATCTTCTCCATGCTTCTGTTTTTCTCTCAGTAGCCTTTGGACAAGGTTAAACCAGGCAGGATTCAGTGAGGCGCAGTGAGGGCTGGAAAGTCTGGAGAGGTGAGGGGAAGTGGGTAGAGATTCTGAGTGGGTGGTTCCCTGTTCATGCCGCCCTTTGCCCAGCCAAAGACGCTAATCTTACCTTCTCCCCCTTCCAGGATGACACAGAACCATACTTCATTGGAATTTTTTGTTTCGAGGCTGGAATTAAAATCATCGCCCTTGGATTTGCCTTCCATAAAGGCTCTTACTTGAGGAATGGCTGGAATGTGATGGACTTCGTGGTGGTGCTAACAGGGTGAGTGGCCTGTTCTGTGTTTCTCAGAATTATCTTGAATGATGAGAACTCTGGAAACATAAGGATTGGTGTCATCCAGGCTGGACTCAGAAATGCTGAGCCCCCGTATTCTTCACTGTGCTTCTGCCTTCTTACCCAACCCCCCTCACCTCCTCATCTCGGCTGTAGATCATAGCAGATGCTTTCTGTTACAATTAGAATAAGAGCTTATTAGAATTGACTGCTTCCAAAGTGCTTTGCGTGCATTCTCTCATTTAATCCTCACAACAATCCAATGAATTAGGAAACATTAATATTCCCATGTGAGCGCTGAAGAATCTGAAGCATAGAAGGAACTTGCTTGCAATCACCCAGCTAGTGAGTGATGGAGCTGGGATTTGAACCTGAGATGATGTCATTCCGGAACTCAAGTTTGTAACTATTGTGTGCACGTGGTCCTTTTGCTTTGCTTGGGGGAATACCTTGCCTTTATTTTAAATTGGTAAATGCTTTTAGCTTAGAAGGAAATGGAAATGGATTTGATGGATAGTCAGCCAGTCTCCATTACTGACCCCAAAGCCCTTTATCCAGTCCTATTACAGGCTTTACCATTTTGTGATGATTTTGGACTCCTTTGCTTACCTACTCCTCCCCTCCGAGCTAAGTCTATTTCTTCTCTGCCAAGAGCCCTATTCACTGGGAGACATTCCTCATAGTTCTCCTATACGAGAGCCCAGTATTCCTCTATGGGACTATAATCCTCTATGGGATCATTTTTTTAGTGGGGCTCCAAAAATCACTGCAGATGGTGATTGCAGCCATGAAATTAAAAGACGCTTATTCCTTGGAAAGAAAGTTATGACCAACCCAGATAGCATATTAAAAAGCAGAGNTTTTCCTTACGGTGTCACAGTTGTCTTCTGTTGTTTAGTCGCTAAGTTGTGTCCAACTCTTTGTGACCCCATGGACTGTAGCCTGCCAGGCTCCTCTGTCCATGGGATTTCCCAGGCAAGAATACTAGAGTGGGTTGCCACTTCCTTCTCCAAGTTCTCTTCTGTGGGATTCTGTTTCTCCTCTAGGCCCTGTTGCTGCTCCAGGTCCTTCCTCTCTTGGCAGATGTCATGGGTCTTAGGGTCCACACTGTGTTGGCTGGCCTCTCATAATTCAGGTTTTTTAAATGTATCAGTTGTTTCGAAGCAATGTTGCTTCTCACAGAAGGAGCTGTGTTGGTTGGGCTATTTTGGTAGAGGCTTTCAGATCTGAACAGTCTGTTTTGAGGGCTAGCCCTAGTGTTTTCTGACAGGGGCTCTGTTTGCTGTGTCCACGGTCCTTTGCCTCATGACCTCAGAAGGTTCCTTGGACGTATCATGGCATGGAGCACTTTTCTCTTTGCTTACTAGGAAACTTGTGTGTGTAAGAGTTCAGTGGTTGACTTTGTTGTCGTTGTTTAAAAATGTATTATAAAAAAAGCATGATAGAAATAATCATTTCTGAAAAGGTATAATAGGATAATTCTAAAAGAAGTGGAGAATCATATAACAAATGCCTGTGTATGCAAATATTCATTCAATGACTATTTATTGGGCGACTACTATATGCTCTGGAACATAGCAGTGGTCAAAACAGACAAAAATCCCTCCTCTTATAGTGCTGGCATTCTAGTAGTGAAGAAAGACAAGATGCATGAATGAATACAGTATCTAGTGTGTTAGATGTTGATGAGATATTTTTAGAGAAAAAATAAAGCAGGGAAGGAATGGGATGCATTATGGGCAGGAGGGCTAGAAGTCAGGGAAGACTAGCATTGGGGAGGTGGTATTTGAATGAAAACCTGGAGGAAGTGAGTGAATAAGCCGTGAGGATGGCCGAAGGAGGAGAGCGCCAGGCAGAGAGAGCAGCAAGTGCAAAGGGCCGGAGGTTGAACTGTGTCTGTTGTGTTTGATGAACAGTGACGAGGCCAGCATGCCTGGAGCAGAGTGGGTGAGGGGAAAAGTGGAGGAGGTGAGGACAGGGAGGTGATGGGGCAAACCGCCATCAAAATGAAACCTTTACAAGATTAAGAATGTGATATTCCATTCGAAGACTACTTGTTCAAGTAGATTAACCTTTACACAGGTTCAACAATATATCATTTGATTTTCTTTTATCTTTTCCCTTTTTTCTTCAATCCGTAACTTTAGGAAGATCTAGTAAAAAGGTCTTATCCATACTTCACTGAAGGTTCTTTTTGACTAAGAAAACAGTATATTTCAACTGTCCTTGAAAGCACAGTAAGTTGTAGTAAAATATACAACCAATAAAAGTGAACATATTGGTGACCAAAAAAAGCAAAACCTTTATGTATAGCATAGAGAACTCTAGTCAATACTGTGTAATGACCTATGTGGGAAAAGAATCTAAAAAGAGTTGCTATGTGTATATGCAAAGCTGATTCACTTTGTGCTATACCTGAAACCAACACGGCGTTGTAAATCAGCTGTACTCCAATAATAACTTTTTTCTTAAAAATGCAACCTTTTTAATATGGTGTAAGTCCCTGCATTCCCTTTCCTGGCCCCATTCTTTTCTCTCCATCCAGAAGCACTTTTCTGAATTTTATGCTTATCATTTCCATTTATGTATTTACGCTTTTATATAAGAATATAAGAAGTATATGATACTTATGTGACAGTTTAATTAGATAAGTATATAAGAAGTATGAGGTTAATCTGCTTGACAAGAATGGTCCCATTCATCCATTTTCACTGCTTCATGGTATTCTGTGGTATGAACACTCTACCGTGTATTTATACATTTGGGTTGTTTCCAGCTTTGTGCTATTTTGAACAAAACTGTCCCCTCCTTCTTGTGAGTGCATTTCTCTAGGGCATGTGCCCAGGAGTGGAATTGCTGAGTTGTATGCTCTATGCATTCCTAGCTTCACTAGATCCTGCCAAATTGCTCTGCAAAGTGGTTGTACAAGCTTATGCTCCCTGGGGGCTGACTTCTGTTGCCAGAGGCTGGCTTGACCTTGATGGCAGGAAGAAGCCTTCAAAACCCCTGTTTTCTGTAACATGGTTCTTGAAACACCTAGGGAAGCTCGCATACTGTTGAGCATATAGTAAGTCTCAATAAGTGATTAGTAAGTTGAAAGGCAGGGCTTCCTTGGTGGCTCACATAGTAAGGAAACTGCCTGCAATGCAGGACACCCAGGTTTAATCCCTGGGTCAGGAAAATCCTCTGGAGAAGGGAATGGCACCCTGCTCCAGTATTCTTGTGTAGAGAATTCCATGGACAGAGGAGCCTGGCAGGCTACAGTCCATGGGGTCGCCAAGAGTCAGACGTGACTGAGCGACTAGGACACACACACACATACACGTTGAAAGGCAGCCGTTTGATAGGTCAGTCTGCTGCACGGATGTTTGGATCTACTACTCAGTTACAACAAGGTGATCTTTTTTTGTCAGTTCCCTGATATTTGATGAGCCTCTAGAGGAGAAAGTCTTCCTCTGGGGCAAATTGGTCCTAAGGATGCAAGCTCGTAGTTGGAGTTAATGGGATCCATGAGCCATCTGAAATTTCATGCCAAAACTTTGTGTGTGTGTGTGTGTGTGTGTGTGTATTTTCCTGGTCTGTAGTTTTCATCAGAGTCTCAGGGGGGTCCTGATTCGAATGCTACAAGGAGCCCCTGCTGTGGATTCTCTTCATTTCTTAACCCCCTTCCCTTTCCTTCTTTATTTGTCTTCTTTCTTCTTTTCTCTTGCTTTTGTCTTACTTCTCCAGTAATCAACCCTTCTTTCTTACTGTCTGGTGGTTCTGTCTCCTTCAAATTGGGCACATAGTGCAAATTATTACTTCAAATTCCAAGGGACTTTTGAGTCTCCTCTTGGGTTATAAGCCAGGAACAGAGAGAGAAGATTTTAGTGTCCCTGCACACCTAGACTTCTGTGCAATGTCAGCAATGGGGAAATGCAATAAACTCTTAATTTTGTGTTCTTGGGGGAAGGGGACTCCAGTGTATTAATTTGACATTGAAACAAAGATGACTTGAATGTGGGCTTTCTGATTAAAGCATCATGTTCTCATATTTCAAAGCAATCTGCAGCATTAAAATACCATTCACTTTTCATGGATCACCAAGGTTTTAGCCATCTTTTGGTGTGACATTTGGTGAAAAAGATCTTACCCATGGATTTTTGTGTGCTCTGTGTAGCTCAAAGCCTCAGAGACATTTTAACTTTGTAGTTGATCAATGCTATTTATAGCATCCTTCCCTCATATTTGAAATTTGATCATTAAACTGAAAATGTGTAAGAGGAAGATTTGAGAAGCTTGGCTATATTTCTGAGATAACAGAGTTCTTACTGTAATGTTCAAATATATGTATATATTGAAGAAATCAGATAATACACTTGTGCATGTTAAGAAAAGAGACTGCAAATGCTGCCAGGGTAGGAGCGAAGATGATTATTTTTTTAATTCATGGGCTTAGCCCTGTACCTGACATATAGTAGGTGATCAGTAAAATAGATGTTTGCCAAGCTGGAAGGTGGTAACATTTCTGATAATCAGAGTGTTCTGGAAAAATCTGTTTTTGCCGTTGAGTCACTAAGTCATGTCCAGCTCTTTTGTGACCCCATGGACTGAGCCCCACCAGGCTCCTCTCTGTCCATGGGGTTTCCCAGACAAGAATACTAGAGTAGGTTGCCATTTGCTTCTCCAAGAGATCTTCATGACCCATGGATTGAACCCATGTTTCCTGCATTGACAGATGGATTCTTTACCACTGAGCCACCTGAGAAGCCCCCTGGGAAATTTACCAAGCTATTTAAGGAGATGGGGACCATTGCATTGATACAAACAGTCAAACAGTCCAGGAGTCTATGATAGATACCCTGACATCAGCTAAGGCAGACAAGGGGCAGTTGAGTAGGTCTTTACCTGCTCTCATATTTTGTGACTATAAAAAACAAAGATTCCTTTCTGAAAGGTCCTATGAACCACCCCAGGCTTTGGGCAGTTTTGTGTTGAGGTCAGAAATG